AGAGTGTACTGCATGCTAGACATTTACGGCAAGCAAACAAAAAAGATATTTCACAGGCACATGGGATTCAATTCTATTGTTAGTTTTGCATATACACCCTGCCACAATTATTCATGTCCCTGTTACCTGCCTGTTGGCTTCCTGGCTGGGACTACCCCAGAAGATGCAGCAGGTGTAGAATGTGGAGTCCCCAAGTGATCAGTGGCATTGGTTGCAGAGAGCAGATGATTTCCACTGGGGTCTATACTGCATTCAGAAGTGCGATCTGGCATGGGCTGGCATAACTGCATTAGCTTGAACCTAGCTAGTACAGCTAAAATATCAGTGAAGATGTAGCAGTTTGACTTGAGTACAGGCAACACAAAGATGTCCCCCCTCATGCTTGTAGATGTCCTCCCGCATGCTAAAGTCGGCCCCACTACAACATCACTGTTATTTTTAGCCATATTAACTAGAGGAAAGCTAGCACCAATATCCAACCTGCTCCACTCAGCTCACTCACTGCAGAACAGACATACCCAGCGCTGAAGGGACTTGCTGGGTATTGTTCCCTGTAGTGACATGGGTATAAATGACCTTGATCCAATGCCCTTTTAAGTCAGGGTATGTCTACACTCGTGAAATGAGGAGTAACGGTCGTTCGGACTAGAAAGCCTAGTCCGAACTACCTAGTTCGTGCTGCGTGTAGCTGTGTGGCACGGGGTTCAAACGAGCAGGGATTTAAAAATGGCGGTGCCCAGTTTATGCAAATGAAGCCCGGGAAATTCAAATCCCGAGCTTCATTTGCAACTCCGAATGACTACATTACCCCCCTAGTTCGAACTAGGGGGGTAGTGTTACCATTAATTTTAACAAGAGTGGGATCTAGTCCTTAAATTCATTTGAGTCCCATCTGAGGCTATGCCTACACTACAGTCAGCCATGGCTGGCCCCTGCTAGCTAATTTGGGTTTACAAAGCTCAGGGTAAGGGGCTGTTTAATTGTGGTGTAGACATCCCAGCTCTGGCTCGAACTTTTGGACCCTCCCACGTTGCCTGGTCGTAGAACTTGGGCCCAATGTCTTCATCACAGTTAAACATCCCTTTAGCCTCAGCCCTGTGAGCCCAAGTCATCTGGCATAGGGCAGCCATGAGTTTTTAATTGTAGTGCAAATGTACCCTGAGAGACCCTGATCCACTGTTATAAAAATCCCTCTATTTAAAGGTCTGTAGGCTACTTCTGGTCAGTTGTAATTTACTTCTCACACTGTTCATCTGGATCCTGAAATCTAGTCAAGCTCAAATGAAAGTGTGTTCAGATCCTACACCTGCCTTCAAGTGCCCCCTGCCAATGTCTGTGGGTTTTTTAATAAATCAGGAAATAACCCTCTTACACATTTTTATTGAAAATACAACTCAGACACATAGATTAAATAAATCTCCACTGAAGTCAATAGAGTTGTGGATTTGGGACTGATGACAGAATGAGGTTTTAACCAGGACCGGCTCAAGCCATTCCTGTGTCCCGGGCAGCGGGCGTGCGACGCATGTGCAGCTCCGCCCCCGGGAGCATGGCGCATGCGCGACCCTGCCCCCCGGCACACTGCACACTTTACAGCTTCAATCGGGTGGGCGGCGCCTGATTGTAGCTCCAAGGGGTGCCCCGTGGGCCCCGCGGGCCCTTTGCAGCTGTCATCAGGCGCCCCCCCCCATAGTTTGGCACCCTGGGCAGCTGCCCGGCTATCCTCCCCATTAACCCAGCCCTGGTTATAACAGGAGTGTATTGGTCCAGGTGATCTGGTTACATTTCAGTCAGGAGATTGCATTCTGCCACCCAGTGTTGTCTGTGTGGTTTCAACTGGATAAGGTGATCTTCATGTTCTGTTTCATATCTTGTCCAGCGTTATTGTACTCTCCAAAATATGCTACCTTTACGTGGTGGGTGAAGTGATTCGTAATCAGCTGATACAATGTTGTGGCATCTTTGGGCATGTCTATACTAGAGAGAAGATCGATGCTGCTGTGGTTGATCTTCCGGGGTTCAATTTAGAGGGTGTAGTTTAGACTCACTAGATTGAAAGGGCATTCCCATCATCGCTGGCACTCCTACTCCTCACGAGGTGTAAAGAAAGCTGACAGAAGCATTTCCTCCCGTCTGCCTCCCACTGTGTCGACGGGGGATTTAAGATACGTCGACTCTTACTTTGACCTTCTCATGTAGTGTAGATCAGGCCTTTGGGTAGAGGGTGTTGTACACATTGTGTACACTATGTGGCAGTTAGTATTTGTGCTACTAAGAGTAATGATAGTCTCACTGCCTGTTTATAAAGTTTTAATACACATTGTGAGAGAAGATTAACAGTGTGTTAGTCCCGGCCCAGCAGCACATACGTGACTTTGAGATTATGGCTTTAAGTCTAATATCAGAGAACAATTTGAAATTCTTGATGACTGGCATTTGGACAGCTGAGCAGGAACCCATAGCAACTTTATGAGTTCAAGAAAGGTTTGGTAACATGTTTTGTTTGTGCCTGATCTGGGGCTGGTAAAAGTCTATGGAAGAACTCCCACTAACATCAGTGGGCTGTGATTTAGGCTCTTTCATCAATGTATTTCAGGTATCCATTCCTGCATTAGTATGAAACCTGTCCTAAATGCCGTAACATCTGACATACCTTCTTCTCCCAGGTGCTGACTTTACTGTCAAGTCCCGGCCATTCACCATCTTCCCTATCCCCGTGGGAGAGAAATCCAGCATGGTCCTTGCTGCTGTGCTGGGCTCGGTGGCTTCTGTACTAGTTCTGGGTCTTCTTTTGTTCTGCTGGTCCAAGAAGAGCAAAAGTAACAGTAAGTGGGAATGGCCAGGAGAGCTCTTCATCTGCAGAACTGCTCCCATTTCACTAGTGTCTAAAGAGAGATTATTAAAGAGTTCCGTAACCATGGTAAGGTGGGCTGGACTGGAATTATTGACATTGTTTGCATCTCTTGCACATATTAAGCCTGACTCAATGGAACTCATCTGATTCCATCTGAGATTATGATCTCATTGTGCTAGGCACTGTGCATACAGGTAAAAAGACAGCTAGTCCTTGCCCCAAAGAGTTGACAATCACAGACAAAGGAGGCATTATTATCTCCACTCTCCAGATGGGGAGCTGAGGCACACAGAGAGATTAATAGCCAGGTTTTCAACAGTGCCAGAATTGTCCATGCTGTTTTTCAGTGGGATTAGCCATGCACTTTGGAAAGCCATGTCTCCAAGATGTCATGCAGGAAACATAACCAGGAATTCAACGCAGGATTCCTGAATCCGAGTCCAATACTTTAAGCACAGAGCTTCCAAACAGAGCTCTCTACATCTTAATCACATGTTGCAAGATATCAGATTAGCCCCTATTCTCGTCCTTGTACTGGTGCAATGGCACTTGATGTAATGGGAGCTCAGTGCCTTTGAAATTCCAGATCACTTATCTAGGTGGCTAAATCAGGATTTAGAAACCTAATTTTAGGCTCCTATTTTTTTATATCAATCTTGGCCACTGTATTTCCCTATATTTAGACTAGGAAAAAATGAGGCAAATCACTGTGGTGTGACACATAGAAAAGCCCAGGTTATAACTGAAGGATGCTTTCTACTTCATGGCTCTAAAACTAGCAGAACTAGCTGCAGGAGGAGTTCTGAAGAGCAGAAATAAATTCAGTTGCCATAGAGCTTAGTAAGAGGAATGGCACCCCCCCCCAGTTGCCAGCATAGTCCATGGGTGTAATTTAGAGCAGCCTTGAGAGCATGCTGACCTAGGAAGGACAACTACCCCAGTGCACAAATAGGTCAGAAATGGGGAAGTGCAAAAAGAGTTTAAAGCCTTATTCCTGAATTGCGCTGCATAGTCCTGGATTCTTGCCTATACTGAGCTGAGTTTCTAATGATGCCCAACGTACACTGTGAAGATCTGAAGACAGAGTTTTGCTGAAATGAAGAAATGTGATTCCCCAGAGGTAAAATGCAATGCAGTGTAATCATAAAATAAGCCTCTCCCTTTTGGGCAGAAGGAACGCACATGAGATTAGATGCCAATTCGCCAGCAATAGATTGTTTCTTAAAGGAATATCTGGCTCTGTGCCCCAGATGGACTGAGAATGATGTAACTGTTTATTTCAATACAGAACCAAAGACTGAACTGGCTAATGTACTACGAGCAAAGAGAAATATTAAATCCTCCCAGATCCTTCCACAGCAGCATTCAACTTGTGTGGATCTACACCGTGCACCAGAAGGGAACAAAAGAGACATTCCTGGGATGGGAGCAGGTGAGCCTGCAGAATGAGGATAACTCAGGTTTCTAAAGCACCTTTTAACCAAAAGGATCTTCGTGCACCTTACAGCTGATGCGTGTGTGTAGATTGAAATGATTATTTTGCCAGTTGAGGATCTGGCCTAGAGAGAGAGATGAATCACTTTCACCAGTAAGAGCTGATTACTATAAATGAATTCTCTCTCAGAACTGAAACAGTTACATGAAACTAAACGTATGGTTCAAGTTTTACATGGCTATGAAATGTATGGATGAAATCCTGATTCCATTAATTCGAATGCCAGTTTTGCCACTCATTTCAATGAAGCCAATGTCACCCAGAACACCTTTTTTGTTTGTTTGTTTGTTTGTTTGTTTGTTTGTTTAAATCCTCCAGGATCTCAGTTTTCAAGCTTCTCTTCCAGGTTTGAAGAACAATGTTGCCGAAATATGGTTATAATCAGAAAAAAGGGCCATGGAAAAATGGTTTATTTACTCATCCAGTCTGTTGCATGTTTTTTTCCCCTGATCATATCTTCCTGTGCTATTAACATTTCAAGAGCAGAATCAGCATATATTAGCAACAGATAGTTCTAACAGGCACTAGCTTCCAGGAAATCAATTGCAAGTGGTCACTTTGAAGTAAGGCTATAGGCAAAATGGTAACTTAAAAATGATATTATGAGGGTCATTCTGTCAAGATACTTAGATGACTCCCTTCACTATAGTATGTTGACTCCCTCTCAAGTAACCCAGACCAGATTTGCTCTGTTTACAAGCCATAAATAAGCCTGCCTGAAAAATGTCACCCCCCTGGATCTGACCATGATTATTATTTATTCTCACTTTATCACCATCAATGTGCTCAGCACTTAAATGGTTATAAGAATTGTGACAGTCCCTGTCCCAAATAGATTATATTCCCAACTCTCTGTAAGGGGGAGGGGGATGCTTGGGCCACACCCCTCTCCTCAACATTTTCTATTGATTAGTTTAAATGGATCCCCACTCAGCATGCTGGCTTTTGTGAATGCCATTCTCAGATGTGCATTGTATAGGGAACCTGGGTTCTGAAAATTACTAGGTAGCAAGGTGCCTGAAAGCATGGTACTGCAGTGCCTAAGTGCCTTTTATGAATCTAGCTCTTAGGTTCCTAAATCTCATTAAAATCAATGGGGCCTAGGTGCCTAAATGTGTAAAGGTACATCTCTACTTCTGGCTGGAAGTAGAATTCCCTGATCTAGGATACATAGCTGCACTAGCTCTGATGGACCTAGCATGTTAAAAATAGTAGCTGCATCAATGCAAGCAGTGGGAAGGGCTAGCCATGCAGGTACGTGCCTAGCACCCCAGATAGATATGTTTTCAGGGTGGCTAGCCCTTCCCACCACCTCTACACTTTGTTTTTAGTACACAAGTTTGATCAGGTCTAGAGTGGGTATGTCTCCCTGAACTGGGAATTACATCCCCCAGTTGAAGGGTACCATGCCTTAAATTGCTTCTGAATATGAGATGATGACTTGTAAGTCAATTTAGTGCTTTTTTAACAACTTTATAAATATTATATGTTTCTATGATGGATGTTACTGCTGATTGGCTATGAATTGTGCACACAGCTGGTTTATGGGTATAAGAGTAGGGCAACATTTTTTCACAAACTTTTGGGGTGAAAAATGAAGATTCGGCGACACTGAAAAGTTTCACAAATATGTGTTGGTTTCATCAAATTGTTTGTATAGAAAACAAAAACAATTTACATGACCTTGGGCATTTTATTTCAACACTGACAAAATGTTTTGGATTTTTAATATTTCTTTTAATTTTATTTTTTTAATTCAAAACTTATTTACACGATGGCGCCAAACTTAAAAAAAAACTAGTTATTTACTCAGGAATAGCCATGATGTCATCCTTTGTCATTTAGGCCAGGGCTACACTAAAAGGGAAGGTTGACTTCGTATACACAACTCTAACTACTTTAATTATGTAGCTGCAGTTGATGTATCTTAAATCATGTTTTTGCATCGTCCACACAGTGGGAGGTCAACAGGAGCACATGCTCCCATCGGTTTCCCTTAGTCCTCATGAAGAGCAGAACTACTGGTGCTGACAGGGAAGTCCTTTCAGTTTGAATTATTGTGTCTTCACTAGACCCGCTAAATCAATCCCTGCGGCAGCATCCATCTTCCATGTAATGTACGCATGGCCTTAGACTAGGGCAGGGACTGCTATGGACTATATGAATTCTCTCTCTGAGCTGACAATGTACAGGTGAGTGGATGTGTGGTTCAAGTTTTGTAAATGTCTATAGTGTCCATTCATTTCAGTGTCAGTTTCACAAAGGGCATAGCACACACAGCCTCCAGCCGGGGTGAGCTTTCTAGCTGCTATTGCAGCATAAATGATTAACAATAATAGGACATATGACTAGCTAGTATGCACCAATGGTGAAGCAATCTGGAGGTTCCAGTAGGCAAGTGTAGTGAGCAGGGTTGGCCTCTCACTGACCCTGAGGCGGAAGAACCCCTCTCTGAGTCTGGGTGGGCTGAAAGGTCAGCTCAGTAGGAGGGCAGCTGTCGGATGGAGATGCCGAGGAGTTGGCCGAGGCAGATGACTGGCCCGGGCCACCAGGCCTAGGCGTTGAAGAGGAGACCCTTTTGTCCCTATGCCTAAACTTAGACCAGACAGACTCTGTGAACCAATCACTGCCTGTGAACCAGGTACAAACTGAGGGGGAATCTGGAAGTGGCCCAGAGGAAGCAGAGGATGGTCAAGTGGACCTGATCACCCTTTAAGGCATGTCAGCATGCTTTGGAATGGACTCCCTGATGACCCCAGTGGCCGCCAAGGCAGCCACTGCTAGGGCCCTGGTCCGGGACACGGTGGAGCAGGGAGGGCCCACGTCCCCCCTGCCAACCCTATATTGGGTGGCAGTCTCCCCCTTCCCACCTGTGCCGTGAAAGCTGTTTGCCTGCCTGCCTTCGGGCCCCTTGTCTTAAAGGGGCCACCAGGCTAGGAAGTACAGGCCCGAGCACTGGGCAGGGGCTTAGGACTGAGTAAGAACTCTTACAGCAAGCCATTCTACTACAGTAAGTTAACGTGAGGCTGATAATTCTACTATGCTTTGTGCATACCTACGAGTTAGCCCGGGCACTTTTTCATACTCTCCAGGGCTGGACCTTTTCACTGCAGTCCCTTTTCTGTAGGCCTTTTCATGGCTACATGTTTTGAACAGCTATATAAAATCACAAGCCAAAGAGCAGAACTTTCCCCCTCTTTTCCTTGTTTTGCTCCTCTAGCATTTTTTGTTCTTGTTTTTATTTAATCTTTTCTTATAATGATTTGCTGATCAAACACAACTCCCTGAGAGGTCACAGCAAAAGCAGAGACCCTCAGGGCCATGGAGCTGGCAGTGGGCTCCACCAATCAGCAGAAAATATTGCTTCCACCTGTACACACTGGATTGACTCCTCCAGTTGTCAACTGCTGAGTCCATTTCTCAGCCCATCCATGAACCCTGACTGAACTGCACATATATTCTGGAACTGGGTATCTCCCTCCCCACACCTCCCCTAAATTTGTGGATTGCATAAGGAGGCTAGATTGAGTTTCATCTTATTTTAATTAGCACCCACCACAAAAGCAGAGTGAGCGAGAGAGGAAATACTGCAGTTTATGTGTTTTGATATTTGCCATACTTCTCCAAAATACAGCATTCAACTGTGTGCCTTAGGATACATATAAATTCATTTTTTATCTAATTTGTCTGAGATCTAAGCTTCCTGTGGAGGTCTGAGATCAAAGGATCTGATTCCGTCTGATGTCGGCTCTGACACATAATGTGTGCTGACTTAGTTCTGTCTATAAACTCGCAGTGGGAGGCTGCCATTTTCCCTTGGCACCTTTACATAGTGAACTTTTATTTCAGCTGGGGAGGCTGTCAGGTATAGCGTTGATTGGCGCTATCGTGTAAATAATTCATGGAGAGACTTTTCTCAGAAAAAGGAAATCCAGCCACTTACAGTCTTTTAGGAATAGTTGCAAGACAAAAAGATTCCCCAATATGTTCAAATCTAAACAAGGATAACAATATCTTAAGTGAATTTAAGGCGTGCGACTTGAAATGTCTAATGTTTGATTTCCCCTTATTTAAAATAATGTTGGTTTTGGAGAAAGAGACAATCAAAGCTACAGTCATTTTTGTTTAGTTTCTGCTTTATGCTTTTCCCTGTGAAGAAATCTCCTCTTTCTAATCCAGTGGAATGTTTGGGATCTTTATTATTTTTACTGTGACAATGAATAATACTTAGATTACAAAATCTTATGAGTAGAGACCATCCCTTTGTTATATATTTGTAGAGAGCCTAACACAGTGGTACTGGAGTCTTAGGCACTGCAGCAATATGGATGATGATGATGGGTATACCAACAGATGTATAGCATTTAAAGCCAAAGGGAACCTGTCAATCATCTTTTTTAACCTTCTGTATAACACAGACCATTACATTTCACCCAGTTACCTCTGTATTGTGCTTAATAACTTGTGTGACATGCAAGCACAACTTCCCAAAACAAATCTAGTCTTGACCTGAAGAGGTCAAGGAATGGAGAATGCTCACTTTCCTTCTCTCCCTGCTAAAAAAAAATAGGACTTCTTTCTCATTTGAATTTTTCTTGCTTCTGCTTCCAGCCTGTGACTCTTTATTAACCTTTCTCTGCTAGACTGAAGAGCCCTTTAGTGCCTAATATTTTCTCCCCATTAAGTTACCTATAAACTGTAATAAAAGTCACCCCTTTGTCTTCTTTTTGAGAAGCTAAACAGGCTGAATTCTTTAAAATAGAATCATAGAAACCTAGGGCTGGAAGAGACCTCAGGAGTCATTGAGTCCAGCCTCTTGCCCAACGCAGGACCAATCCCAACTAAACCATCCCAGCCAGGGCTTTGTCAAGCCGGAACTTAAAAACCTCTAAGGATTGAGAATCCACCACCTCCCTAGGAAACCCATCCCAGTGCTT